GAGGGGGTGACGGAGAAGAGGTAGGGCGGGATTGGGTGTGGTGGATCGGTCAAGTGGGTGATTGGGAATTAGCGCTGAACGACAAGCGCGGGAATCCATGTGGCAAATGAAGGAAAAGCTCACGGGAGAGCTTGCTCTGTGTGGAGGACGATGTCTGAAGACATGGGAAGGGAGGGAAGTGGGTGAGGGGATGGGCGGGTAGGGTGGGAAGAGACGGGGTGGGTGTGGAAGAGGGAGTGGGGGGAGTGGAGGAGGAGGGGAATCTATGAGACGGAACGCTAGCGACCTCATCTTCTCTAGAATAAGAACGCGCAGGCTCCTTTTTTTTTTAATATTGATTTGCTGGCGGTTTTGTTGTTGACATTGTCTTTATTAATTTGTTAAAAAATTCTACGAGTAGTCTATTATTATCGTTGCTATTATGATTAGTGATTTATTGCTATTACATAATATGCTATAGTTAAAAAATAACAGCTATTGGATTAACGAGATCCCCACTGTTCCTATTATTTACCATCCTGCGAAACCACAGCCAAGGGACGAGAAAAAGCAGCTATTCGTCGTTTGTAGATGATGTCTCTACCGTCTTCCCCCGAACACAACGCACCCTTATTTTGGTTGTATCTGGCCGGAAATACAGCTTGTATACATTCATTTTTAGGGTGCGTTATGTTCGGGGGAAGACGGTAGCAATAGACACTACCGGTAGTAGGCGGCGTAAGAATCAAAACTCTTGAAACGAAATGGAAATAAAACGAGCTTTAGGCACTACGCCGAGGGGTAGATAGGCAATATCAGGCCATACGCAAGGACTTTTCTGGATGTATCAGACCTCCGTAAGGGCCACTCGTGGATGCACTTGACCGCAATTACGTCCACAGAGAATTCGAAAAAGTCCTATTGTGAGCATGCTCTTTCTCGGTTGATGGAACATGGAGGACAGACACAGCCATGCTTGTCGCACAGAAAGGTCACGCCTGGATGCACCTGACCGCAATTACATCAACATGGAGGACAGACACAG